GTCCTCAGGGCAATGGGGCTGGCCACAGGGTCTGTGCGAAGCCTGGTTCTCAGTGTTCTCCACACAGGGCTTACCCCAATGGGAGGCTGACAATAACCCCCTCCCCCCCGCCAGCAATACCCCCTGTCCATGGGGACTGCCTTGGTGCCAGCTGCCTCTCCTACCCTAACAGCTGTATTTTTCAGGCCCGGGATGACAGGCTCAATCTATTCCTGTTATATATTTCCCAGTAAATGGACAAGGTGAAAACAGTGTCAGTTCAAATCACTATCATGACACTTAATTCTGATTTATTGTACCTTTTGCTGCAATCTCGAAAGCGCCTGCGTCCGGGCCGGGCTGGATTGCCCAGCCAGGCCCCGCGGGGTCGATGTTAAGATCAGCTTCAATAAAAGAATTTAGGGTAAGGCGGCCCCGGTGGGCAGGGGGCACGCCGGGGCCCGGAGGACCGGCCGGCAGAGACCGGCCGCCGCCGCCGCGGCCCTCCCTCCCGCAGACGCTTTGTCCCCGGCCCAGTGTCTGCAGCAGCTGGGAGATTTATGGGGGCTCCATAAACGGGTTTTACAGACAGCTGTTAGAGCGTGCCGAGCAAGGCTGGGCTGTCGGGGGACCTAGTCGCGGGCTTACAGCCAAGACACTTAAATATTATGGCCCCACATATATAAAAGCTGTGCCGTGCACGTCCTCCGCCCGCCCCCCTCCTGACCCAGGAGCGTGGGGTACGGCCAGAGGAGAGCAGCCGCTTCCAGCTGCCTGCTGGCTGGCCAGAGACAAAATGCCCACAAGCCCTGGTTCCAGTCCCTGCAGCCAAGGCCGGGGGGGCCTCTGGCGGGGCTGGCAGCTTGGAGGCAGCAGGGTGACTCTGGTCCAAACAGCGGTGCCAGGCGTGCCCCGGCCTCCTCCCCCACCCGCCTGCCCGCTGTGCTCAGGCTCAGCTTACCACCTCCTAGCAGCCTCAGGGCCTGGCTCCAGCTGTTTCCTCTGCTTTGAAAGCTCTCCCTCCACCCCACCCCCCACCCCCACCTCCACCCACCTCTTCTTGCTCTGGCCAGTTCCTGCCTCCCCTCCCAGAACTCAGCTGGAATACGGTTTTCCCAGAGGCGTAGTCTCAAGTCAGGGTCCCTTGTTATAGAGGCTCATATCCCCCCCGGACCTCTTCATAACATTTATAACAATTGTAATTAAATAATTAGTGGTGTCATTATCTGTTTAATGTCTGTCTTCCCCACTGGACGATAAACTCTGTAAAAGCAGAGATTCTGTTTGAATGTATCCCTCGTGCCTTGCACAGGGCCTGGCACTCAATAAATATTCAATAACTGAATGAATGAATGAATGAACGAACGAATGAACAAATGAACGAACCAATGGAGATGCAGAGATGAATTCCATGCAACCCTCAGACGTAGCACAAGACAAAAATGAGCTCAGATCCTGAGAGCAGGAGAAAGGCTCAGTAAAGAGAAGCCACTTCAACAAGAGAGAATCAGGGGGTGCTTCCAGGAAGAGGTGCCTTCAGACCTGCTGCTATCCTATCGAATAAAGACAGGATATGCAAATTGACCATCACTTTGCGACAAAGATGGCAGCGCCCACAGCCAATAAGGAGGGAATATGCAAATTGACGTGACCAAGATGGCAGAGGCAGAAGGTGGCTCTGGGCTGGAATGGAGGCAGAAGGCAGTGGCCAGAGCGAAGGCCTGGGTCCCAGGTGCTAGCAGCCAGGGGAAGGAAGGCCTATTCTTGCAGGAATCTTCGTGCATCGGGCCTCTAGTATGTATAGTAAAATGCTTTCATTCAGAAGTTCCAGCCCTGAAGTTTAAGACATGAGTCAGAGGCCGAAACCGGTTTGGCTCAGCGGATAGAGCATCGGCCTGTGGACTGAAAGGTCCCGGGTTCGATTCCGGTCAAGGGCATGTATCTTGGTTGTGGGCATATCCCTAGAAGAGGGTGTGCAAGAGGCAGCTGATCAATAATTCTCTCTCATCGATGTTTCTAACTCTCTATCCCTCTCTCTTCCTCTCTGTAAAAAATCAAAAAAATATATTAAAAAAGAAAAGAAAAAAAAAAAAAGACGTGAGTCAGAGGGCTGGTCCCTTAGTCTCACTGAATCTCAGCTTCCCCGTCTTTAAAATAGGGCAGTGCCTATGTCACGTGATTGTGGTGAAGGCTAAACGTAGTTAGCACAGCACACACAATAAGCGGACCTCGAGCTGTGTTACTACTGTAGCTAGAACTTGGTTATTTCAGGGGAAGGGCACAGCATGTGTGTGGGGATTTATGAAGGACAAAAATCACGTCTCCTGGTGCCCTGTTGCCTCCAAGCCTTGTTTTGTATCTCATAATCTTAGCCTCAGCCACTTTGACCCCAGAAAGGGTCTGACCCAATAAGAGCCAATCATGTGCTGGCTGGTAACCTATGACCTGTGGCTGGGCCAATTAGATTACCTTTTTGTGGGTGTCTTATTGAAGAGACCTGGGAAGAATTGGCAGGAGAGCTGAAACTGAGAGTTCCATGTTAGAAATATCACTGCACAGCAAAGGGGATACTAATTAAGAACAAGGAATCTCTAGGCAAAAAGTATTAAGAGGGAGTTTGTGCTTTGCCACACTCTTTCTTGCTGAAAAGATGGCTGCAACCAGCAATGTCCCAGAAGCGGCTCCAGAAGCTTGGGTCGTGAAGAAAGAAAAAACATTGCCATGCCATGGCCACAGTGCCCTTGACGAGGTAGCATGAGTGACAAATAGACTTTGGCAGTTATGAGACCCTGGGATTTTGGAGTTGTTTGTTACTGCAGCAGAGCCTGGCTTATCCTGACTAATAAGATGCTATGCCAATAGGTTACCACTGAGTCTGGTTCAGAATAAGTGCCATCATTTTTTTTTTTCCTGTCTCCCTCTTTTTTAAAATTTTTTTTTATTGATTTCAGAGAGGAAGAGAGTGGGAGGGAGAAACATCAATGGCGAGAAAGAATCATTGATCGGCTGTCTTTTGCACTCCCCCTGCTGGGGATCGAACCCTCAACCCTCGCATGTGCCCTTGACCGGAATTGAACCCAGGATCCTTCAGTCCATGGGCCAACACTATTCACTGAGCCAAACCACCTAGGGCTTTTCCTGTTTCTTAATAGCCAAAGGGTCATACTCAAAGGCAGAAAATGTGACTTTGGATTGGTAAAGAATTCAATGTCGTTGGAGTGAAAGAATTGACAATAAAGTTGAAAAGGGGAGTCCAGATCATAAAGAACTTGGACTAGAAGCCACATATCTGGCTTACTCAGCATAGAGGGCATAAAACCATCACCTTTTAACATCCAGTGACTCTTAAGAACTCCATCTCCCCATCAAAGTGTGTCCTTCTTCCCTCTTCACAGCACCTGCTCCCTAAGTCTCCCCTCCTCACCCCAAGTTCAGCCTGAGATCCTCTGCAGGAATCTGTTAAAGCCCCTGCTGTCTCAGAGAGAGGAACGGGAAGTCTGATCTGACCACCAGAGGGAGGGCCTACGTGCCGGCTGCTGGCTTCCCTGCCTCTCTCCCTATCACAGCTGAACCCGGCCCAAAGCGAACAGCGCAACAGCAGCAGCTGATGGATCTCACTCCACTAAAACGTGAAACGTCCAAATGACAACAAGCACCATAAACACGCTAAGCACGAGCGATAGCCTGGGAGGAAAATATTTGCAATTTATATAACAGATAAGGGATTAGCATCCAAAATATATAAAGAATTCTAGCAAATCAATAAGAAAAAAGACAAATGACCCAATAGAACCACTCAGCGAATACTAAAATCAGTCGATTTATGGAAAAGGAAATTCAAATGGCCAATAAACTTGAAGAATGTCCCGTTTCACTAGTAATCAAGGAAATAAAACATTACATTACCGGCAACGATATGCCACTCATCCCGATTGGCGCGCACACAGAAATTAAAGTTTGATGTTAAACGTGAGTGAGGGACCCTTGGATCCAATGGGCACCACCGCTTTGAAGGACAACCCATCCACCTGCCGGTATCTCCCCTAGAGAAAATGTGTGTGTGTGTGTGTGTGTGTGCGCGCGCGCGCACCAGGAGGCTCGTGTAAGCATGTTGACTGCTAGTATTATTGTTTGGAAGAGTAAAAGAATGGAGCAAACGACCAACAGCAGGGGGTTAGCTACATAAACCAAAGCATGACCATCGTATGCCGTGCCATGCAATTGTTCAAAAGAATAAGGTAAATCCACGCCATCCCATGAAGAAATATTATTGCGTGAATAAAACAAGTGGCAAAAAAGAACATAAAGCAGAACAACTTTTTATGGATAGACACAGAGAAACAGAAACACGCAGGGTACGTTTTAAAAATTTATAGGCACAAATGCAGCCAACTATTAGAAAGGATGATTCGGAGGGGAACCATCCTTTCCAGCCCTGTGAGAAGATTGGAAAGGACCTCGTTGCGGGAGCGGGTGGGAGAGGGTGGGGGAGGGTAGGGGAAGGGGGATAGTGGGAAGGAGTCAAAAGAGGATTTAGCTTTATGGTTGTTATTTCCGTGTTGCTGTTTTTCACAGAAGAGAGAAAGGAGCAGGTATTTAGGGACTGCTTGTGCAATAAAGAGTGAATTATTTATAGGGAGAAAAACAGGCTGTCTGGCTTAGGACTCCCCTCCCTATGCACAGGCCAGGGGGAGCCAGCAGCACACACACATCCTCACGGCCGGTGGGCAGAGCGAGGGGGCAGAGCGTGTGCTCTAGGATAAGCTGACACCTCTACCTATGAGTGTGCCCACGTGACCCCAGCATCCAAACCTCAGGTCAGCGGGAAGGATGGACTTCCAGACCCTGAGCGATCTCTGCCACAGGGCCCAGAGCTAGACCAGCAGGCAGGGAGCAGCCAGGTCCGAGCTGAGCCGAGGCTGTGGTGGGCGCAGGGACATGGCCAGGGCCTGCAGGGCCGATTCACAGGAGCCTCTGCAGTCACACTCATGCTCAGGAGATCCATGAGCTTGGCTTAGGGCAGTGGTCGGCAAACTCATTAGTCAACAGGGCCAACTCTCAACAGTACAACGATTGAAATTTCTTTTGAGAGCCCAGTTTTTTAAACTTAAACACTGTAGGTAGGGACAATGTTATTCACTTAATTACTCTTTCCATCGCACTGTATGTGGGTGCCCGCACGTGGTATTCTGTGGAAGAGCCACACTCCAGGGGCCAAAGAGCTGCATGTGGCTCCAGAGCCGCAGTTTGCAGACCACTGGCTTAGGGCTTTGCTGTTGCCATTTTGAAGCTCTGAAGACTTTGTTTAGTTGAGGTCTAATTGGCCTACAGCGTTACGTTGGTATCAGGGGTGCAGCATGAGCTGGTATTTGTGTAAAGAATTCTATCTTTGAACTTGTGTTTTGTAGGTTAAGCCCCATGGGCTGATGGAGCGTGCACGTGAGCAGGGGAGACAGGCGCAGTGTGCCAGCCCTGCTCCCTGCCTCCCCTTTGGGGGGTTGGGTTTGCAATGCCCTGGGAGCATGGGATTCCAGGGGATCCCCAAAGCCTGGGGATCCGGTCAGACTCAAAGCAATTAGAAGGTCAGTGAGTCATTTTAACAGCCCAGTGGGGGTGCCCACAGCCCCAAGAGGCCACACTTTTCCTTCAAATAAGAATTTTCTTGGGCTGAGACTGGTTTGGCTCAGTGGATGGAGCGTCGGCCTGCAGACTGGAAGGTCCCAGGTTCGATTCCAGTCAAGGGCATGTACTGTGGTTGCGGGCACATCCCCAGTAGGAGGTGTGCAGGAGGCAGCTGGTCGATGTCTCTCTCTCATCGATGTTTCTAACTATCCCTCTCCTTTCTTCTCTGTAAAAAATCAATAAAATATATTTAAAAATAAAGAAATAAAAGAAGAAGAAGAAGAAAAAAGAATTTGCTTGGGCCCTAGCCGGTTTCGCTCAGTGGCTAGAGCATTGGCCTGCGGACTGAAGGGTCCCAGGTTCAATTTTGGTGAAGGGCACATGCTGGGTTGCAGGCTCAATCCCCAGTAGGGGGCGTGCAGGAGGCATCTGGTCAATGATTTTCTTTCATCATTGATGTTTCCATCTATCTCTCTCTCCCTTCCTCTCTAAAATTGATAAAAATATATATTTAAAAAACTGTGTGTGTGTGTGTGTGTGTGTGTGTGTGTTTAAAGAATTTGCTTGGAAGATAGAAGGCAAAAGTGTCCTAAGAAACATGAGCTACCAAGCAACCCTATCCTTTCTTATTCATGCTAAATCCTGGGATTAACCAAGCACCCAGGCTGAGAGCCATGTCGTAGGAAGGAAGGAAAAACGAGGGCAGTCAGTGTTCCTTCCTCTCCCACCCTTCCCTGCTCATCAGTAAGCTACAAGTAGATGATGGAGGAGAAAGTGCATATGTCAGGGAGTCAAACAGAAACAGTTGAGCTCATTTTATGCAGCATTCCTATTGTTCCGGTAGGAGTGAAATACATGCCTAGCAGGTACAAACTATGCGTGCTTTTTGGTGATCCCACCAACGAGTTAAATGCTCTTGTATTTGCATTTAAAGCTGGCATTGCAAAATATAAAGTAAAATTCCTATTTGCATTACTTCTTTCCTTAGAGTGGCATTAAGTAGCAAAAAAGAATATAATGGTAAGTAGAGAAGGAAGCCACTGAATAAAGGAGAAAACTTTCTATTTTAATATTTTTGTTGCACGTTTCCCTCTGCGTTTTGAGCAAGGGGGCCTATGTTTTCATTTTGCACTGGGCCTCAGAAATGATGTTGCCAGCCCCTGAGTCCAGGGTTTCACCTCGCACCTCAGGACCCAAGGTCAGCCTGTGCCCACGGGAAAGCAGGGCAGCTCCCTGTCTCCTGGACCAAGCGTTTGGCCTCTTCTGCAGGTTGGCCCTGTCTCTGATCTGCTGGCAGATTGCTCCCTGGTTCAGAGCTGGGCTTGGGCCAGGCCGCCTCGATTCAAGTATCAGCTCAGGCTGGCTGTGTGATCTCAGGGAAATCACTTGACTTCTCTTTCCCTGGTTTCGCCATTTCTTGAACGGGGATTTTGATAACAGCACTGACCTTGAAGGAGAGGGTGGAGAAGGGTAGATAAATTAATGCCTGCCAAGTGTTTGGAGTAGCCCTTGGAACCTATAGTTGTGTGAGCCATTCTACACTAATAAGAGAGTAAGATGCAAATTGACTGTACCTTCGTGACACCCACCAGCCAATCAGGAGTGGCCATGCAAATTAACCCAATAAAGATGGTGGGTTAATTTGCATATGAAGGTGCTGAGCAGCCAGGGACAGGGTGGGACACTTGCATCATCACCATGGTGACTATGCAGGTGTTCCACTCCTCCCCAGCCACTGCAGGCCTCTGGGCAGCATAGGAAGGTGGAAAGGCAACTCTGGGCTGGAGCAAAATGGTGGCTCTGGCCAGAGCAAAGGGTGCCAACAGCCAGGGGAAGGGAGGCCCATTCTTGCACAAATCTTTGTGCATTGGTCCTCTAGTCTCATTATAGCACTTTCCACAATTTCACTGTCCAGTCAAGGAAGTCCCTGGGTGCCTTCTTCTCTTGCTGGGAGACTGGACAAAACTCAGTCTCCATGAGGAGGAAGGTTCTATGGGAATGGGGTGCACCAGCAGGCCTCGGGCTTTGGGTCTGTGCATGCAGGGGCTCAGTGCAATGCTGAGAAGGAGGCAGTGGATTGTGTCCCCAGGTCTGTCTGAGTCGGTTAGGGCTGCCATGCACCGTACCACAGGTGGTGGCTTAAAAACAGATTTGTATTGTCTCCCCGTTCTGGAGCCTGGAAATCTGTGCTCAAGGTGTCGGCAGAGTTGGCTTCTACTGAGGACTCTCCCCTTAGCATGGGGGGCTCTCCCCTCGCGTCTTCTGCCTGTGTCCTCACATGGTCATCCCTGTGTCTATCTGGGTCCTAAAAGGACACCCATCCTATTGGATTAGGACCCATCCTTATGACCTTAATTTACCCTTCAAAGGAAATACATCTCCAAGTATAGTCACAGCCTGAGGTGCTGGGGGTCAGGCCTTCAACATGTGGATTTCAGAGGGCACAGTATGTATGAGCACATGGCTGTTCTATGAGTCCCTCTGAGCACATGATTGCACATCTGTGTTTCTGTGTCTGTGTCTCTGTTCTTTAATGTCTGGCCTTTGGGGACGTTGTCCTTGTGAGTGACACAGGGGCTCCTGGGAGTCAGCGTGCCTGTGTTCATGAGCCCCCAGCCATGTTCTGTGTGGGCCTGATAGTGCCATGTGTCTAAGTGGGTCTGTAATCCAGGAGGTCACAGTCTGGGAAGGGTAGGAGGTAGGGGGTGGGGGTGGGGAGGGCTGTAGGAATGGGATCTGTTCACCTCTGGGACTCCGTGCATGTGGGTCCTCTGTTGTCTGTGTGTGTGCGTGTGTGTGTGTGTGTGTGTGTGTGTGCGTGTATCTGAAATCTGACCAGACATGTGGCTGGAAGGCAGAATTTGAAAGGAGAGGGGAAGGATCATGTTAACTCGAGACTTGAAAGAAGACAGTGTGTTTACAAAAGCGGAAGAACAGCGGGTTCAACATATGTTGGCGATGACGGCGAGAGGACGGCAGCTGAGGCTGGGCCGGCTCCGGCATGAATTCTGTGGCTTGCTGGTGTCTTTAAAACTGTCACAAAACCAGACACAGGAGCAGAACAATGGGGCTGAGCGGAATCTGCGGTGGGGGCAGGGAGAGGAGGAAGCACAGGGGCAGGGAGGGGGCGGCGTCCTGAAGGCCGCTTTGTCTCAGCCCTGGGTCTCCGAGGCCGAGCACACAGAGCCCGCAACCCGGCCTCCAACACTGAACTGAATCTCCCTCTCCGCCCACTTCCCGGCTGAAACCAGCCCACACCCTGGGCCCCGGGACCCTGGGGCGGGAGTGCCCCTCGCACACACAGCTCCGGCTCAGGCTGGGCTCTGTGCATTTTCTTCATTCCTCCCTCCAAGCCTGCAAGAAGGCAAAGTATTATCTCCATCGAGTTGAGAAAACAGAGACCCAGGAAGACACAGGGCCTTGGTCAAGGCTACAGCAGCTGGGATTGGAACGGAGGCCTGCTGACTTGCTCTTGGGATTCTTGGGATGGTGTTTGGTTAAAAAACAATGAACAAACGAATGAATGAATGAATGAATGAATGATAAAATATTCTGTGCTTTGAGGTAGAGTCTCCGCTCAGGCCCTAGTTAATACCCAGAAGGACATACCAAAACCTTCTGGGTATTAACTAGGCTCAATAGACAGAGCGTCGGTCTGCAGACTGAAAGGTTTCAGGTTCGATTCCGGTCAAGGGCATACCTTGGTTGGGGGCACATCCCCAGTAGGGGGTGTGCAAGAGGCAGCTGGTGGATGTTTCTAACTCTCTATCCCTCTCTCTTCTTCTCTGTAAAAAATCAATAAAAATATATATATTTTAAAAATACTCAGAAGGACAGTAGGTAACCCTTACTTCCTCCTCCACATCTATCTGTCCTGCAATAAAGGGGTTGATCACTGGGACCTACCTTTTTTTTTTGGAAAGTCAATGGCAGTCCACAGACGGTGGACACTGGCTTCTCATCCAGGGAGCAGACTTTCGCTGGGGAAACAAACAGGAAAGGGATGGCCAGGACAGAGATTCTCTTGTCCCCCGCCAGTCCTCTGACATGCAGACACCAGGTCCCCCATTTGGTTTGGCTCAGCTGCGGACCTGGGTTGGAACATCAGCTCTGCCCCACACTAGCCGACATTCCTTACTCTCCCTGCTTTATGTTTCATTCCTCCTTTAATTTCATTGAGCAGGTTGAAATGCACAGCTCTTTCCGGTTGTTCTTTTATCTCAGGTCTTGGGGTACAAATGTGTACAGAGTGTTTGTCTTGGCGTCTTGGTGGCTTGTTTCCTTGAGTGCTTTGTCATTGTTGTCCCCAAACTCACAGTAAGGAGCGCTTGTTTCCCCGGAGTCCCCCGTGCCCGGCTGGATCCATGGAGCCGGGGGGAAGCTTGCCTCCACTGGGCACCACAAGGTCTTCCTCTGGTCCCAGGTGAGGCTGCTGATTAATTCTCCAGGGTCGGTCTCCATGGCGCCAGGCTTGACGCTGGAGCAGGTGCAGCCCCGCACCCCTGTTTTCTTGTTTCTATCCTTGGCCCAGGCGAATGGCACGTCTTTTGGCCTCTTTGGCAGACCAGTGGGCAGAATTCCCTGCCCCTATAAATTTTGATGGGTGGATCTCTGTCTTTATGGATAAGAATGGTAATCTTTAATTATCATGACCATGTCTTCTTGGACCCGCCATCATCTGGAAACGTCCTTGTACTAGCTCCTTTTTCCCTCTCCGAGTCCCACGTCTGTGCTGTCTGTTCTAAGCAGTGCTGTGTCGCCTTATTTGCAGCCTGATGCTTCCACACGGATTTTCTTTTTTTTTTTTTTTTTTTTTTTTTAGGGTGAAAGTCCCTTGTCACCACGGCATTGGTCACAATCTACACGTTTTGATAAGGCGTGTTTTCCAACCCGAGCATCCTAATGACCCTTCATTGATTTACAAGCGCTTTGTTTACTCTCCGAGGTTTCCTTTTTCTTCTTTATCTTCTGTCAGTGCTAGCAGACTTTCAGAGTGGATAGTAATGAGAAAGGACAGCGACGGGTGTCTAGAGATGGTTTGTTTAAGTTGCGTGCTTAAATAAATGGCAGTGCCGATGGCACACGCGGGCAGGAATCACGTGGCCAGGTTGGTCCCCTGCCCCAGGCCTGGCTTAGTCGTGTCCCTTGGGCGTTCCAGTTCCAAAGGTCACGGGGCCACTGGCTGCTCTTGGAAAATCGGGAGCAGGAGAGCCCTGGGCGGGGTTGTCCTGGCGCCTCTGTCTCTCAGCAAGCTCTTCCCTGGGGCCTGGGCTTTGTGCACAGAGTTCAGTTCCACCCCATCGCGTTCACAGGACCAGCTGCTCCCCAGCCCAGGGAGCTGCTCAACCTCCGGTCCTGCTCACCGTCCCACCATCAAGTTGCCTCTTTATCTGGTACCTGGGGCATCTTCTTTCTTGGCTTTGAATTCATCTATGTAGTTATTAATACATTCTGTGACATGTTGGTGTCTTTAAAACTATCACAAAACCAGATAAAGGAGCAAAACACCTCCACACATTTTATCTAATATTTAATATGTTTAGAATAGGATAAGGATTTCCTATATTGGCTTAATGTACCACATTAACTAGAAATTTCTTCTTAAAAAATTTTTTTTTATTGATTTCAGATGGGAAGGGAGAGAGAGAAACATCAATGATGAGAGAGAATCATTAATCAGCTGCCTCCTGCACAGCCCCTACTGGGGATCGAGCCTGCAATCTGGGCATGTGCTCTGAGTGGAAATCTCACTGTGACCTCCTGGTTCATAGGTAGATGCTTGACCACTGAGCCACACCAGGTGGGCTAACTAGAGGTTTCTGGCATGATCAGCTATTATATATCTTTGAGGAAGATACTTAAACTTCTCTGAATCTCAGTTTCTTTGTCTATCAAATAAGTAGGCCCTATGATAGGAACATCTACAGAATCGGTTGTTATGAGGATTATGTGAGACAGGTACACAAAGAATTTAGCATATATGGTGCCTGGGACATAGTAGGTGTCCAGTAAATGGCAGGTGTTATCATTTCTGATCCTATTTTGCATATAGAGATCTGGAGCCCAGAGAGATTAAGTAACTTGCCTAAAGTCACACAGCTGATGGGTGGAATATGCCCCCTTATGTTTGAGTCTTCCCATTCCAGGAGCCAGACATGTGAGTGAGTAGGTCTTCAGAATAACCCAGGCTCCAGCCACCATCTGAATGTATGCTCATGAGACACCCCAAGTGAGAACTGTCTAGCACACATGTGTCAAACACAAGGCCCGCGGGCCAAATCCGTCCCGCCAGGCCTTGCAATGTGGCCCGCACCACGCTGTCATCACTGCACTCCGCTGCGTTTCCATCACAATGACAGTTTATGACTGTTCAGTAAACCATTCGGCCCGCGATTTAGGCTGGATTTTAGATTTTGGCCCCTTCTCTGATTGAGTTCGACACCCCTAGTCTAGCAGAACTGAGTCAACCCCCAGATTCATGAACAAAGTAAATGATTGCTCTTATTATAAGTCACTGTGGGAAGCAGTAGACAACAGGAACACTGTCCCATTGCTTACTAAGCACATTTCACTCTTTGATGGGCAGACAGGAGAGACAGCACTGTGTCATTCGTTCATTCATCCACTTACACAACAACTGCAGATCTCTTGAGCCTCCACTGTGCCCCAGGCTCTTCACCAGGCACTGGGGATTCAAGTAAACAAGACAGGCAAGATGGGAAACAAGCAAGCAATTAAATAAAAAGAGGAAATACCTGGTAGTGATAAATGCCAGGATGGAAATAAAACATGACGAGACGAAGTGACAAATGGAGACTTTTCAACCTAGGTGATGAAGGAAGGTTTCTCTGAGGCAGTTACATGGAGACAAATGTCAAGAGGGAGTACGATCTGGCAGTAGAATTTGCAGGTAGAAAGAATCACCAGTGGAAATGTCCACGGTGTGAATGATCTCGGTGTGTTTGGGTATCCTTCAGTGGCTGGTGTGCCTAGAACCGTGGTCAGCAAACTGCTCTTTGGCCCCTTGAGTGTGGCTCTTCCACAAAATGCCACGGCCTGGGCGAGTCTATTTTGAAGAAGTGGCATTAGAAGAAGTTTAAGTTTAAAAAATGTGGCTCTCCAAAGAAATTTCAGTCGTTGTGCTATTGATATTTGGCTCTGTTGACTAATGAGTTTGCCGACCACTGGGATAGGCTATGCTGCAGTAACAAATAAGCACTCAAATCTCAGTGGCTTTCCCCAAGAGAAGTTTATTTCTCTCTTATGTCACAGCTTACTGTGTGTCTGGAGGATTTCCTCTAAGCAACTAAGGAACTCAGCCTCCCTCCATCTCATAGCTCCATCATCTTGCGGCTTCAAGTTCACCCTGATGTTATCTCCCTGGGGACAGGTAGAAGGAAAGACGAGAATGGGGAAGGCACACCAGATACTTATCCACCTGGAACCAGGTAATACTCAACACTCTGCTCATATCCCATTGGTCAGAACTAGTCACATGGACAAGCTAGCCACAGAGGCAGTTGGGAAATATAAATGGGCACACAGATACCTTGGTGAGCCCCAGCAGTCTCTACCATAGATAGTAAAAGAATCTGATCTATATTTCAAATTGGCATTCTGGTTACTGTGTGAGTCATGGCAGCAGAGGGAATCCCAGCTGTGACAGGCTCTGAAATTATAACCCAACTCCTTCCCTTTGGAAGTTGTCACTTGTGGCTTTATGTGTTTGTTTGCTTATTTATTTATTTATTTATTTAATGTGGTTTTTATTGATTTCGGAAAGAGGAAGGGGAGGGAGGTAGAAATACCAATGATGAGAGAGAATCATTGATTGGCTGCCTCCTGCACGCTCCCTATTAGGGATGATGTCCGCAACCTGGGCATGTGCTGACCAGGAATTGAATCATGACCTCCTGGTTCATGGGTTGATGCTCAACTACTGAGCCACATCTGCCAGGCTCACTTGTGGCTTCAAATGTTATGCACATTTTACCTCTTGGACCAAAAAGCACAGAAAGTTGTATCCTGGGGGAAGCTGGGCGCAAAACTGGGGTCCAGGGTTCAGAACCAAATGTTTAATCAGGGAGGTTCTGATTCCCAGATTTTGGGATCTTGGATTGATAAATTACAAAAATAATTTAGAAACTAACCAAGAGCGATTTTTGTCTCAGAAGTCTATACTGTCATCATCATTTCACAGAATGAAGGAAATCTTAATATTTATAAGCCAGAAGGAAATAATAGCACAACAAAGAACATTTCTTTCATAGAAAAGACAGTTGGCAGCTTTTCACCCACACAGACACATACACACACATGCACCAAGCACGTGCATGGCACGTTAGTCGGGTATACATGGATTCTACACGTTAATTGGCTTCCTGGAATTGCCCAGGATCTTTTATCATCATTAAGTAAGTGTGCTGTGCCATGACCCACTGTGGACCTGCTCAGAGTTGCATGGGTAAGAAGCTGCTGGAGGCAAAGGACCATTTTTCATTCAAAGAACACCCTGGAAAGGTTCAAGTTGGGAGTCACATTTGAAATCACTGCTCGTCTTCTTTCACTGTGACACGTTAATGCTCACATCATATAACCATGCACGTAGCTCTCAATCGGTCATCTCACAGGCCTCTTCTTATAATAACTGCTTCCCTGTTGGAGGTGTCTTTCCCTTTTGGGCCCCTAAATTAAATTTGGGGCTCACCATGTGGCTTACATGTTGAGCCAGAGCATCCCAGACATTCCCCACACATTCACTATGTCCAGCCATCTTTCCGTGAGGTGGTGGCGTGCAGATGGAAATGCACTTCTGCTTCTACAACGCCACCTTGTCCTTAGTTTTCTCGTCTTCCTCTTTGTGTTTCCTGTCTCATTGACGAGGCCTGGCCCATGAACTGGCATGTGGAGGCTCCACGACTGGGTGGACAGCAGGAGCCAAGGTCCGGAGACAAACCCAAAGGCTTAGGAACCAGGCTGCTGAGAGCCCAGGGCGGCCATATGGGCAAAGGCCGGGAGTCTGGGTGAATGCTGAAGGAGCAGGCAATGCACTGGGGATTGGAGACAGGTTCTGGTGTGGCCTGGAGAGTGAGCTGGGGGCACCTACGGAACCCTAGCCAGGACCTGAGGAGCTGGCCAGATTCCACGTGCCTCTCCAGTCTTATAATACTTCACCTGGCCTCCGCTGTGAGCTCTCCTCCCTGTCATCCCCATGGAAGCGCCCCTCCTATTTTTGTGCCCTTGGTGCTTGTCCTTTCCACCTGGAGCACCTGCTTCCTGTGCCCAACCCCACCGTTTCCTGCCTGGCCCACTTGTATGCATGCTCCCAATGGAGCATGCTCTGCCGTCCTCCACAGATCAGAATGAACTGCCACTCGGTAGAGGCACCTCCTTTGCCATCTGAGCTTTGAGGCTGATGTGTTGGATGTGATGCATAAGAGAAAAGGGGGAGGCAAAGATGGGGCCCAGGTGTTTGGCTGGGCAGTTGGAAAGCATGTATTTCCAGTAGATGAGATGGAGAAGACGGGGGAGGAGCGGGTGTGGAAGGATGATCAGGAGCTGAATTCCAGATGTGTCATATTGGAGATGCCCACCAGCAATTCAAGGGCATGTCAGGTAGGCCATTGGTATACGCATTGGAGTTCAGGGAAAATCCAGACTAGGGACATCAATTTGTGAGTCACCAATACAACTGCTATTGAGAACTGGCATTGTTCACTCATTCAAGAGAAAAGGAAACAGCTTTTCTTCAATGCCTTCATTTAAAAAAAAAAATTTTAGTTGTAGTTGACATAACATATTGTATTAGTTTCAGGTGTATAACCCACTGATTAGACTTTATAGAGCATACTAAGTGATCATCCCTATAAATCTAGTGCCCACCGGATCCCGTACATAGTTATTACAACATTATTGCCTGTATTCCCTGTGCTGCATTTTACATCCCTGCGACTATTCTATATTCTATTACTATCGATTTGTATTTCTTAATCCCTTCACCTTTTCCACCCAGCCCCCCAAATCCCTCTCATTAGGAAACTGTCAGACTGATCTCTGACTTGATGAGTCTATTTCTGTTCTGCTTGCTATATTTATCTATTTTTTTTTTTTTTTTTAGATTCCACATAGAAGTGAAATCATATGGCATTTGTCTTCCTCTGCCTCATTGCTCTCAGCACAATACCCTCTAGGTCCATCCATGATGTTGCAGATGGCAAGATTTCTTTCTTTTTTTACAGCTGAGTCATATTCCATTGTATAAATGCACCATTTCTTCTTTGTCCACTCATCCTTTGATGGACACATAGGTTGCTTCCATATCTTGGCTATTGTAAGCAATACTGCAGTGACTATATGGACATATGTCTTCAATGCCTTCTTGTGCCGTCTCTCGGGTCAAGCTCCTCTTGATTTTAGAGGCTATGGAAAGAATTGCATTGTGGGTCTGTCATCATGTGGTGCCTCCTTGTAAGAAAAGCCATCCTGCACGTGGTTATGGCTTTTGAGTTTCCACAGCACTGTTTGTGGTTGTTCTGTGCTTATTTTCCACATCCTTCCAGTTAACCTCTTGTGAAAAGGAGCCTGCCCCACAACTCCTTCATCCCACCTGCTTGCCTCCTGCTCCCGAAAGCATCCGTGTTCAATCTGAGAGCACAGGTCAGATCAGAAACTCTCCAGACCACAGGCGAGTTCTGTGCAGCTGGCAAGGCTGACAACTGATGAAATTTTACCCTTACTCTCCCGAGACAGAGTCAGTCTGTTCTGGTCCCACAGATCAATCCCAGAACACAACCCTGGGAGTGAGGATGGAGAGGCCCCTGAGGAGGACAAGAGTGAGTGGTGGAGAGCTCGAGTTCAGGAAGCTGCCCGAGTTGGTCCTGGACCTGCATGGGTGAGACCTAGTAAGCAGCGAGGCCCTGCTCGCCAACCTGTGGCCACACTCAAGTAAGTGCTTCTTTTTCAGAACAAGTAGCTTGTGGCATTGAATACCTCCTGGGCTCTCATCATGTCTAAAATACATTTACATTTTTTTCCTGATTGCAAAGGTTATATATGTTCATTATTAAATTTTTTAAAAAATTGTAACTTCCTTCCTCCCTGATAAGGAAACAGTAATTTTTTCTGAATTTTATTTTTTCTTTTTTTTTTTAGCTTTATCTATGCTAATAAAAAGGTAACATAATAATTAGAATGGACATATTCCAGACATCCTTCTGGATGTCTTTCTGGATAAAGCCATGGTGGTAGAGTCTGAGGCAGAGGCGGTTAGGGGCGATTAGGCTGGCAGGGATACCAGTTAGGGGCAATCAGGCCAGCAGGCAGAGTCATTAGGGGTGATCAGGCAGGCAGGCAGGGGAGTGGTTAGGACCCAGTGGTCCTGGATTGTGAGAGGGCTGTCCCCTGAGGGGTCCCAGATTGGAGAGGGTGCACCCATCACCCCCCCCACCACCACTGTATGCACAAATTTCGTGCACAGGGTCTCTAGTTAATATAGTATAATTGATATACAATATTGTGTAAGTTTAGGGTATGCAACATGATGATCTGATATTACACTATTGTGAAATGATTACCACAATAAGGTTAGTTAACACATCCATCACCTTACAGAGTTACATTTTTTAATCTTTTTGTGGTAAGAACTTTTAAGATCTACTCTCTTAGCAACTTTTAAATATACAGTATAGAATTGTTAGCTATAGTCACCATTCTATACATATTCATCTTATAATGGGAAACTTATTCCCTCTGATTACCCTGACCCCCCTCCCCACACTGCCCTCACCCCACACCTGGCAACTGCCATCCACTCTGTTTCCGTGCGTTTGGTTTTGTAGATTCCACATATAAATGAGCTCATGCAGCGTTTTTCTCTCTTTGTCTGACTTATTTCAACTTAGCATGATGTCCTCAAGCTTCATCCATGTTGTCACAAATGGCAGGATTCCTTCCTTTTATGGCAGATAATACTTTGTTGTATCACCATCCCACATTTTCTTTACCCATTCACCCATCAGCAGACACTCGGCTGTTTCCGTGACTGGGCTATTGTGAGTAATGCCTCAGTGAACAGCCGAGTGCACATGTTCCTTCCGACATAAACCCAGAAGAGGACCTGCTGGGTCACAGGGAGTCCTGTTTTCGAGTGTTTGAGGAACCTCCACATTATTGCCCAAGGGAATGGGGATTAGCATTGGCCTAACCATATAGCCAGCCTCAGGAGGTGGCCATCATTGATAAAGCCAATTTCCTAGCCTCCGTTGCAGTTAGGAGTGGCCGTGTTACCCATGTCTGGCCCATGTGACCTGAGCTGGGACATTTCTGGGAGAGGTTTTGCTTCCCACCCAGTCTCCTGCCATGGGAGAGGTGGCCATGACTCTGAAGCTGGAGGAGCCGTCTGTGCCCATGAGGCAACCAACATAAACATAAAAGACAGCCATTCTGAGGATGCCAGCAAAGGGTGGAAGACATGTGTCCTGAGTGTCTTCATTCTCCTAGAACATGAAGACTGAGGCAGATGACGGCTGGCCTGACAAATCAATGCCTACTGCTCAAGCCACTGCTGTTGGGTGTTCTGTTACTTGCATCCAAATTCCTAAGCTATAGGATATAGATATGCTAAAAGAGAAAATAGTCTCTGCCTTCCCCACAGATAGAGCTGCTATAAACTGTTGATGTCGATATACATTTTCTCGAGTATTTTATGCACATATTAGTACATATACATAACCACAATTAAGTACAAAATTAATGGGCTGGTATAATAAATACATTCTGTTTTATAGCCTGCCTTTTTTACTTAACAAAATACCATGGTATATGTCTATGTCTTTTTTATTTATTTTTTATTTATTTATTTTTTATGACTCTGTCTTCTAGTACTAGGCCTTTGGGATATATTCAATATTTTCCCATTATCGGCAATGCTGAAATAATTATCCCTGAACATATATTTGTGTGCACTTTTCTGATTATTTACTTTGGTTAGTTATTAGACATTGGCTAAAGGTATGCACATATTAAGTGTTGACACATATATCTATTAACAGACTTTTACTGAAGGGGCTAGTCTATGTGGCCCATTTATGCTTAATGGACAGATACCTTGGTGGAGCTTTTAGTCTGGTGGGGAGACTGACAGTCGAACAGGTGAACAAGTAGGAGGTGGTTACAAATTGTGATGAGTGAGAAGCAGGGAATGAACTGATGCGGTACGAAGGCATCAGGGACCTACTTAGACACATGACCAGGCTTCCAAGGAGGTGACATTGATGCTGAGAGCTAAGGATGAGAGAGAGGGTCCAGACCCCATAAAGATGGAGAGGAGGAGCACTCTAGGCGAAATCCCCAGGGAGGAAAGAGCTTTGCTATTTAAGGATCTCAGAGCAAACCCGTGGGTCTAGAGCAGCAGAGATGAAGGTGGAGGGTCAGGCAAGGTCCAGCCACCATGAGATCTTGTAGGTCACGTTGGAGCATTTGAATGTTGTAAAAGGTCCTGGAGGGCTTTAAGCAAGTGAGTGACTTGTTGCATTTTTGTTGTTGTTTTGTTTTGTTTTTAATGATCATTCTTGTTGCTGTTTTCCATTATTGGGATGGAGGTGAAACCAGGAAGCCAGTAAAGACATTATTGAAGTGTATTGAAGTGGTCTAGGCAAGAGAATATAACACATTATATTCTTTTTTAGTAGAAATTACTTGTATTTAGTGTTTGATTTAATGGTTCCTATAAGTAATACCTTGCTCTCTCTTTTTGGTTTGAAAGAAACTGAAGCATAATTATAGGAAAGAGACATAGGAAATAAATATACTTCTTTTATTACTAATAAGGCTCACTGGAAACTAGAGCATTTGAACTATAGCTAAGTGGGGCTTTCTGTATTTCCCCCTAAATTGGATAGATTTACTTTTATAGTAGTAGGCAGTACTGGACTGTAGGAACCACTTTCACGTCCTGTGTGTTCAGGGTTCTGGTTCAGGGTTCAATTCTGGAGAAGGCTGCACACAAATGAAAATACATTAGAAAACTATTAATTTGGCAATATTGGGGGCCAGGCAGGAGCCCACCTCTAGGACTGCACACTGCTCTGGCCCTGCTATCCCTTTTGAGGCTATGGGGAAAACACCCATAGCCCTTAGGCAGGAAATAACAGACATTTACGTAAGACAAAGAGGTGGAGGCTGCTTCAGCTAACAGTGTCTCAACTAAACAGTGAGTGGTTAGAGCAATTAAGGTAGTTGACCAACCTTCCCGGCTTCCTGTCCACATCTCTCTATTAGTGAAACACTGATTAGTTTCAGGCACTGGACAACACTCTCTGCCCCAGGAACTTACCACACAGTGGAGAGTACAGTACATGAAAATATTTGCTTCATGCTATCAGATAATGCCAAAAAGAGAACTCAGAAGCATCTATTCTTGTCTGGTTCCTTCTCCCAAATTCACTAATCAGACAAGTCATTCATCCTCCCCAGGAGGAGACAGACTAAGAGTCTAATTCTAATGGAAGTCCTTCCATGTGGAGAAGAAGGCTTTTCCCTTAGCATTTAGGAAAGCTATTGATTATGATACTTACCTGATAACTGGCCATTTTACCAAAACCTCTAAAATTTTTAGTTGATTCTCTTCAATTTCTGTTTTTATATATGCACGCACATCATGCAGAAATGATGACAATTTTGTCTCTTCCTTTCCAATATTTGTAATTCCTCTTTAGTTTTCTTATTTTATTACATTGGCTACAGTTTTTTATTAGCAATTACAGCAGGCATCCTTGTTTTGGTTTGTACTTCAATGAGAATACCTTTAGTGTTTCACCATTAGAAAGTTTACCAATAGCTTTTGATAAATAAACTTTGTCATGTTAAGATGTTTAAATTTCCTCCCTAGTTTACTAAGAGATTTTTAAAAACTTATAAGTAGTTGAAGTTTATTAAATATTTTTAAAGCATCTATCCTGTTGATAAGACCCTGTGATTTGTTTTCCTTTAACAATGTGATGAGTTTTACGTATTTCCTAATGTTGAATTATCCTTTTACTTTTGGAATAAATCTTGTTTGATCATGGTGGGTTTTGATTTATTTTTCAGCAAGCTGGATTTTAAATTGCTAAAATTTTATATAGTTTTACAACTGTTGTATACTGAAGTGGGTTGCTCTATAGCAGTGATTTACATATTGGAGATGGATTGATAAACTTCTGTTTCTGGCTCAGATGAGTTTAAGAAATGCCATTTCTTCACTCCTGGATCGCACATAGACCTTCATATATAATACTAATACTTTATTGTGATTCTCCAAAAAGCAGACTATAAATGGTACATACCATTTTCTCAAATTATTTGACTGCCAACAATATATATTAACCTCTCAGGGAACTAGTGTTCTCTATTCGACCTCCATTTCTCTTTCTTGGTGTTCTCTCTGTTGGATTTGGGTCTCGGGTTGTGCTAAACTTGAGAAATTACATTGAAAAAATTATTTATTTCCCCCCTGTGTAACTGTTTAAATAACATAGGGATTGTCTGTCCATGAACGTTTGCTGGAATGTGCCTGTGAAACCACCGGAACCAGTGCCATTTGAGTGACACCGACACCTGCATGGCTTCCCCATGGGACCTGTTCTTCCACAACCAATCCCGCTTGGCACTGTTTTCTTTAGGATCAGACCGTTGTTTGGAAAAACCTGGAATGTGTGAAAATGGACTTGATGCCTTTGCAACTTGATGCAGATCCCCCCTGCATGGTTCTTAGCTTCAACTACTCCAGCCTTCTGAGCAGAGGCCTCTGGAGTAGCATCTGGCCCTGCGTGGGGGGCCGTGCTGGGGCTGTGCAGGGCATCATATTTGGCTTGTACCTTTCCCCGAGTGCCAGGGTAGGCACCTCTGCTTAACCCCCTCCTACTAGATCAGGAGTGGGGAGCCTTTCCCTGCCACAGGCTGAGTATTGACAACAGCATTCGTGGGCCATAACTTCATTAGCTCACCCCTCCTACCTTGGCAGGGCCAAACCAAAGGATGTGGAGGGCCTTATGGGAACCTCGGGCCACCCCTGTTCTAGAGGCTTCCCTGAGGCTGGCTCTGGGCCTGCGTGGGTAAATCATTGGCCAGCACGTGGGGATGTGGACAGTCGCTAGGAGATGGGGGTCTGTGTGAGGGGGAACCGTGGGTGCTGGGGTCTGACTAAGCTTGTGTTGGGTCAGGTGGGGCAGGAGGGTGCCCTGAGCTGGAGTGACTGAGCCAAGGACCTGCCTGGGTTTGCAAAGCCCAGAAGGGCTGGGTGGGCCAGGTGCCCTGCAAAAGGCACCGTGTGTGTGTCTGTGTGCATGTGGGGGCGCGGGGTGCGTGTGTGGGTGCCTGTGGGTGCGTGAGCGGTTATCCACGGCTCCAGGAGGCCTGGGGGCGCGGGGATAGGCGGCGGCGCGCCAGGGCCGGTTGGTCCGGGGTCCGGGGCGCAGCGAGGCCTAAGGGAGCCCGGGCTGCGGGTCCGGGAGAGGCCGGCTGGGGGAGGGGAGCGGGCCCGGCTCTGGGGGGTCGGGGCTGCGGGCGGCCGGGGGCAGGCGGGGCGGCGGCGCGGGCTCCGGACGCGCGTCCCCGGGCTCCAGCGCCCGCTCCGCCCCGCCAGCCTGGGGCGCCGCCGGGAGGCCCGCAGCCCGGGCCGCGCGGGGGGCGCCGCCGCCGCCAGGCCGCGCCCCGCCCCCGCCGCCGCCGCCCGGGAGGCTCGCGCTCGAGCTGCGGCGCCGGCCCCGCCGCCTGGGCCCCGGCCCGGCCCCTCGCGCGCCGCCCGGGCGATGAGAAGCTGCTTCTGCGTGAGACGGAGCCGGGACCCGCCGCCCCCGCGGGGAACAGTAAGTGCGGCCGGGCGGGCGCGGGCCCCGGGCCGAGGGGCGGGCGGAGCGAGCGCGGAGGCCTCTGGGCGGGCGCCGTGCCCGGGCCGCGCGGACAGGCCCTGCGCCGCGGCTCCCTCCCGGGCGGCGGGGGCGGCGGGAGCTCGGGCCCGAGTGCGGGCGGCGCCCGGGGCCGGGCCGGGCAGGGGCAGGCGGCCTCCGGGAGGAGCCCCGCCGCCGGTGGGAGGGGAGGCGGCTCACCTGCGCCCGGGCCCGGGCCCCGCCCGCGGACGGCGGTTGCACCGGCCCGGCCCGGGGTCCGGCTTCCCGCAGTCACGTGGGTGCAGCCGGGTGCACCTGAGCCTCGGGCAGCGTCTGGGGTGTGGCCTCCTCGGTGACCTGGGCACCCAGGAGCCGGGCACCTGTCTGCAAGGTGAGGGGCCGGGCCTGGGCGCCTGGGGCTCGGGGTGCTGGCCCTGGAAGGATGGCGGGGGTGTGGAGGAACCACCCCAAGGGCCCCCCAGCTCAAGGGGAGGCTCCAGGGCAAGAGGATGGGACAAGGGCTATGGCCTTAGCGCCATGGTGGACCCCAGACCCCCCTAGACAGGCCCGGTGAAAAGGCAGGCCCATGAGCATCTGTGTCCCCTTTGTTCCAACACAGAACTTTTCCTGAATTAAAGCGGTGACCCCTCTGCTGCCCGCTCCTCCGGGGGCAGAGAAGGGCCACGCTGGGCAGAGGACAGATGGCCATTGCCCCTTGCCCGCTCCCCGCCCCCACGGAGAAGCAGCGCCCACTGGGATTTCTGCCACCGAAGCAGACAGCAGGCCGGTGCCTCTGCACGGCCTTTGTCTCTGGTGGTTCCTCCTCAGTGTAATCTCCCTGCGCGTTTCTGGACAGCTGGCTGGATCTCATCTCCTGTGAACGGGGCCAGGAAATCTTATCAGCGGCACCAGCGAGCCTCAGGAAAGGGAGCCGATAAGCTGGCCCCGAGGAAGCCCGGGCGAACCGAAAAGCTCGGTGCGCCGGGCAGGTTAGTGGCAGGAGACGCGTGACACCTCTCCGGTCTCCGGAAATTGTGCCGGGAGCTCTGGGAGGTGGTGCCACGCACAGACCATTTCAGTGGGGCCTCTGAGAGACAGACAGGGCCTCTGCGGGGACCTGGGCCCCAAGCCCCAGGCCAAGCCCTGGACATGGCAGTTACGGGTTCACTGGAGCCTAGAAGCGTCTTCTCTCGTCCACATTTTTTCCTTCCTTCCTTTGAGCTCCTTGGCCACACTCCTGATTTATGCGGGAGGCATTTTCCCTGCCCTGCCTGCATCCAGCTGGTGCACCCACCCACCCCCACCCCACTTGGGCTGGGATGGTGCTCCATGCATGCTAAGTGCGAGGGCTGTAGAAGTAGACCTCATCTTAAACCTTGGCTTTCCTGCTCACTGCGTGTTCTTGGGCAAATCCGGGAACTTTTCTGAGCCGCAGTGGCCTCACCTGTACAGCGAGGCTGGCGATGGTCATGCTCCCTCGTAGGATTGTGGTGAGGATTCGATGAGATATTACAAGAGGCGTGCTGAGCTCCGCGCCTGCCACAGGTCAATAAAAGCTCGTGGATGTTATCAAGGGTTTGTTAACTGATGAATCAGAAGAGCAGCTTCATTTTTTATTTTATTTTCTAGTGCTTTTCTAGTTGCTATTTAGCTCTTCTCAGGGCAACTAGGAAGAGATGGTAGAGTAGAAAGGACTCTGGGCTTGGATGTAGGGGCTTGGGTTTGAGTTCCCCCGTACCTCCTGGAGCTCACGTGACCCTGGGCAAGTCATGGACCCCCTCTGAGTCCCTATTTCCTTATTGGATAAAGCGACTTAAGAATAAATCCTGCCCAGCAGGGCTGCATGAGCTCATGGATATGAGTGAGTGTGACATTGTGGAGGAGGTGGGGTCCTCGCTAAATGTAAGTGGGACTCGGGGACAGGCCCCAGTTTTGTGGGTCTGCCATTTGAACAATAAGGAAAGAAATATCTCCCTTTAGTACATTTGACAGAAACCGCATGATCATACATGGAAACTGCATGACCATATGTATTGCTGGAAGGGTTCGGGGGTAGGGGATGTGCACCGATCTGGGTTTCACAGCAGACCAGCTTCTGGGGCCCTGGAATCCAGACGCCCTGGGTCACTCCGCCCTCGCAGGGTGGAAGGACTCCATGCCTCATGCCCAAGGAGCATACCCTTGCCACACTGGGAAGTAATGACGGTGTTGGAGTCAACGTGGGAAGTGTCAGAGGTGCCATTATGGTGGTGAAGATAACAAGTGACTACATGGCTGGATGTGGTGGGCCCGGAACACTGTGTTTAGCGGCTGCGGTTGAGCGAGCAGAGTCTCCTGGGCTCTTTAGGCTGTGGGAGGGGAGGCCTCTCCCCCAGGCGGTGCTTGCTCAGGCCAAGGCTCTCCCTGGCCCCAGGGGCTCTCCGTGGTCTGTGCTTCTGGCTACGCTGGGAGTTGTGGTTTCTCTGCATTGTCGGTGCTGTTGGCAGGGGCTGCCTGCACCAGGTCTCTCCCGGCTGCTGGGGAGGCAGAGGCGCCCACTGCAGGGTGTGCTTGCCATGGACATGGTGTGGCCATGTGGTTGGTTTATGTGATGCACCGTGGAGAGAATGCAGAGCTTGTCCAGGCTGAAATGTGAGAGGCCCGGGCACCTGGTCCCGGGGGTCACATGTGGAGCTGTGTGGGCCACGCTTGCCTGAGGACTGGAGGGCCGGCTTGTTGAGCCTGTGGCTAGAGCCAGCTGCACCAGGTCGTTACACACACACACACACACACACACACACTCACACATACACACACTTACAACAACAACAACCAGGATACTCATCAACAAAGTAGTATTCAAAAAATATCCCTTGATCCTTTAGGAGGGGTATATATTATACTAGGTGTACCAGTTAGTAACGGCAAATTTTGTAATCAAAGAAAACAATAATTTCAAGAGAAACGTCAAAAGTGCTTTATTCAAAGTAATGTCCATCACTAGCTACACATTTCCCCCATCTTTCAAGTAATTTGTGGATACTGTCCCAATAGAACTTTTCTTGTTTTGAGACAAACTATTCAGAGACCCAGTTTTCCACTTCTTCGTACATTTTGAAGTGCTGCTCAGAAAGTGTGTGTGCCATCCATAGTAACAAGTGGTAATCTGAAGGAGCAGGGTCTGGTGAATACGTCGGGTGGGTTAATACTCCCCAGGCAAGATCTTTTAACGTGTCTTTAACTGGTTTTGAAGTGTGTGATGGTGTGTCATCATGAAGCAAAATTACTTGGCATTGTCTTCTGGCCCATTCTGGTGGTTTTACAATCAAAGCACGGTTCATAGTGTTATTTGTTGTCAGTATTGATCAGTATTAACGGTTTCACCTGGTTTTAGAAGCTCATAATACACCACACCTTCCTGATCCCACCAAACGCAGAGCATTGTCTTCTTTCTGAAATTATTTGGCCTTGCAGTTGATGGTGGTGGTTGACTTGGATCAACCCATGATTTTGTGCATTTGGGATTCTCAAAATAAATCTACTTTTCATCGCCAGTCACAATTCGATGCAAAAAAGACTTTCTTTTATGCCGCAGAAGCAACATTTTACTGATGGCTTTTTTGTTTTCCATTTGTCTTTTGTTCAGTTGATGTGGCACCCATTTTCCTTCCTTTAAAATTTTTCCTGTTGCTTGTAAATGATCGGAAATTGTTTGCTGAGCAACGTGCAATCTTTCTGCAAGTTGTTTTTGAGTTTGACACACCTCTTTATCCAATAATGCTTGTAATTGTTGGTTGGATGTTCTTTGTCTTTCATATCAAAATCACTTTTAAAGCGTTTACACCAGCGTTCACAAGTATCTTGAGAAGGAGCGTGTTCACTATAAACTTTCCAAAGTATACAATAACTTTTTCTTCAAAATAAAGTAATGAACTAAAACTTCCCTCAAATGCTCTTTTTTTTTTTTTTTGGCACAAAATTTGATGTTTTTAGGCATAAAAATATCTATGATGTTAACACCTTCAGCAAATTTGACATATGAAGTTTTGAAGCTTGCTGTCAATACAACAAAATAGCATACATATCAAATCGCATATATATCAACAAATGTGTAACTCCATCTATTGAAAAAAATCCGCATTATTAACCGGTACACCTAATAAATGGATACATAATGAACTAAACATTGGTAGGATGGTTAGGAAAATGCAGATTCCAGGATGTCAACTCAGGACCTGGAATCAAAATATCTGGGATGGGCCCCCAAATCTGCATGTTTTAAAACAAAGTTTGGGTTAGGCTTATTGAAACTGAAAACCACAATTACAGGTGTGTGATTTTGTTTTAATACTCACCTGAGCATACGTTTGTTTATGTTCTTTAAGAGAGAGGGCCAGCCGAAGCCGGTGTGGCTCAGCGGTAGAGCGTCGATCTGCGAACTGAAAGGTCCCGGGTTCGATTCCGGTCAAGGGCATGTACATTGGTTACAGGCACATCCCCAGTAGGGGGTGTGCAAGAGGCAGCTGGTCGATGTTTCTCTCTCAACGACATTTCTAGCTCTCTATCTCTCTCCCTTCCTCTCTGTAAAAAATCAATAAAATATATTTAAAAAAGAGAGAGAGAGAGAGAGAGAGAGAGAGAGAGAGAAAGAGAGAGAGCGCGCGCGCGCGAGAGGGCGCAAGGGAGAGAAAGAAAAACGTTGATGTGAGAGATAAACATTGATTGGTTACCTCCCACACACACCCTGACCTGGGATTGAACCCACAACCGAGGTATATGCCCTGACCAAGAATCGAACCCGTAACCTTTCCATATCTGGGAAGATGCTCCAACCAACTGAGCCACACCAGCCAGGGTTGTAGATGCTTTTACAACTTAAAAAATATATATATATATACACATAACCTAAAATATACCATCCTAATCATTTTTTTAAAATCTTTTTTCGCAGTTTATTTTATTATTTAATTTTTTTTATTGATTTCAGCAAGGAAGGGGGAGATAGAAACATCAATGATGAGAGAGAATCATTGACTGGCTGCCTCCTGCACACCCCACACTTGGGGATCAAGCCCACAACCCAGGCACATGCCCCTGGCTGGAATCTAACTGAGGACCCTTTAATCCACAGGCCAATGGTCTATGCACTGAGCCACACCAGCTAGGGCCATCCTAACCATTTTTAACTGTACATATCAGTGGCACTAAGTACATTCACATTGCGCAGCTCATCTCTGGAACTTTTTCATCTTGAGAAACTGAAACTCTATACTCTTGAAATAACTCTCATTTTCTCCTCCCCCAGGCCCAGGCAACCACCATTCTACTTCCTATTTCTGTGAACTTGACCACTGAACACCTCATCTAAGTACTTAACCTTTTGTGACTGGTTTATTTCACTTAGCATAAGGT